AGAGTTTTTCCTCCAAGGAGGTGTCTCCCTTCCCTTACTTGCTGGCATTTTTGCAGGACCAGATAGAAAGAAGAGCAAAACCAAGCGGTATTTCCAAACAATTGCATGTTGTGTTCAAATGTAAGGCAGGGCCCTTATTTCCACGCTGCATTCACAGGATCTGAAGTTTGAAACCACTTTTGAGTTGTAATTCTGAGGCTGTTAGGAAAATGGGCACCCAGTTCTATCTCTCGTTCGTCCTGGCCTCTGCAGATTCAGTGAGATGTCTGAAGGACAGCTGTGCTCATGTTTGCTTGAACCTGGGTATTCAGGCTCTGCAGATCTTCAAGGGGAGAGGGTATATTGCTTCAGCATTGCTTGCTCCATCTGTCTGTGACCTTCAGTCAGGGATCTTTCCTGGTACTTCTGTTTGAGTTCATCTTCTATGAGAAATGTCAGGGGCTGAACTTGGAAATGGACACTTTACTATGGAATCTCTCCACCCATCCATCCCCCGCACACACATTCAAAAGTTGGAACTGTATGCCTACTCCATCTATCAACCAGAAGAACTACTATACCTTCTGAGCAGGGTCAGTGGACAGAAGATTCCTTAGAGCTTCAGGATGAAGGGTTCGAGGTCATTTGTTTTCTCTGTGAGTCCCATCCCCCATCCTTTCCTGCCATTGGAGAACATTTGAGAAGAATATATATGGGTGTTGAGCATAGGTGCTGAGTAAGCACACAGTACAGCCTGGGAGTAGGAAAAGAAAAGACATCCCTTGGGACAGCTTTCCCCACCCTGGAACCCTTCAAATAGGTAGGAATGCAGTGCCCATCATCCCCAGCCAGCTTGAGTGGGCTGAGTGGGGATGTTGAGAGTTCTAGTCCAACCCTTTTGGAAAGCCACCTTAGAACCCCTTTATAAATATAAAGGATGTGTGTATACTGGCTGTGTTCTCATAACAAACCTAACTACCTCAGTTATGAACCTAGAAGGCACCTTCACACAACATGCCAAAATCAGTAAGTTTTAATCTCGCTTGTTTGTTTGTTTTTCCGTGGGGTAATGTATATAGTGTTAATGTCTAATATCCAGTACTAAGCTGCTAAACTGCCTGTTTTTCAGACTGTGGTATGTTTGTTTTTACTTAAATAAGCAGAAATACAGTATTTTCTTCAAACAGGGTTGGAATCCTATGTCTTCAAAAGCAAGAAAGGGACATAGAGTTTGCATAACCAAGCCTTGATTAAAGTATAAGAAGGCCTAACTCATAGACATTTTAAAATTCTCTGTTTACTTGAAGATATTGAAGGTTCAGATCCCCTCCCTGATTTTTTTGGAGAAAACATTTACAAGAGCTAATCTCATTACCTTCGGATCGTGATTTGCACATGGACGAGTCCTCTTGAATTAGAACCAGGGAAAATCCCTAGGAGTGCTGCTCCTATCATTGTAAAATTTCTCAGATAACTCAAGAAGCAGGAGAAGGATGTTCTGTGAATGCAGCCCTTCCTTCGTTCTGCATGAGGAGCACCAGCAAGCTCTTTTATTTCTTTCTCTCCCTCTCCTAATGCAAAGCTGACTTCCACTGCTCTTTTCCTGCCGCAGCGTCTCTGCTGACGCCAGACTCAGCTGGGTTCCAGTTAATTAACCATGTTGTCTTATCGGCTCTCTTGCACACATCATCCAGACTGCATGCGAATTAACTCTGCCTGCGATAAGCCTCATTGTACTTAGCCCTGGAGAGCCACGTGCTTCCTTCTCAGACTTTTTTTCCCCGACATAAACAATCCAGCTTTCCTTGACCGAAAAGCCTCCTCAGCTGTCCGTGATTCCTTTGAAGTGGGCAGGGCCATTAATTGCATGGTTGAAAAATTGAGCTGCATTTCCTCTCTCCCTACTCAGCCATTCTCCCAATGCCAGTCTCCTCACCAATCCATCTATTATTCGGCCCCTCTTCCTGCCTTGGCCTCCCCTCAGTGGAGACCACCACCATTATTCCTCAGGAGAGGAGAGAAAAGCATTTCCAGCTGGTAAAGACAGGAGACAATCCCATGATTTCATAAAGGGAGAAGGAGGTGGGAGGGCTCAGCCAATCTCTTCTGAACCCATCCCATGGAAGCAAAGATACTGGATGGCGTTTTTGTGGGTGCTTCTTTCTAGACCTCTGGTAGATGGAGAGAAATGGTATCTAGCCTTGTCTCCCAGTCCAGGGAAGACCCAGGGAAGCCATGCAGTTAAGAGATGGGGGATGTAATGGTATCTGGGAATGACCTTGGGAGACAGGAGGGAGAGCCACAGACTGAACAGTGTGTAAACGGTATCTCAGCCCACAGAAGGAGGGAGGGCATGGGAAACATTTCAGAAGGGACCCTTCCTAGTTTTCCAGAGAGTAAAAGGAAAGGAGGGGAGACTACTTTCAGTCTTGTGAGATTCTGTTAACGTAGCCTTACAATAAAGATAAAGCTATTACTCCTGGTTGTGCTTCTTGTCTGGACTACCTTGAAGGGCTAACGGGACTAGCTGCCAATGTTTATCCAAGTCTCCTAGCATTTCATTCATGGAATGTAAAGAAAAAATGTTTTTTCATTGCCCAAGTAACATGCTCTTCCCCTACATGACAGTTCTCAAGCGATCATGGGAATACATCCATTCAGAATAATATTAGAGCCCAAAGGAAAAGAGGCAAAGTCTATTTTACTTGACAGTTTTGGTGTATTTCTCTCCTGAAAATGGCTGGAAGCTCTTCTGCCAAGGTTTAGCAGTTGTGATCAGAGAAGAACTTTGTGGGAGTGCAGAAGTGGGGTTTGTGAACTACCCATAGTCTTGGGATCTCAGGTTGCTGATGTTAGTGCTGAGTTAGTTAGGTCAACAGCCAGATCTTGATGTGAGGACCTTCTCTGTATTCAGTGTAAAGGACATAAAGGACATTTGCGCATGCTTCTTAGCCATCGCTTCTTCAAAAGATTTTCTAGAATAAATTCATCAGTTTGAGTGAGATCTGTCTAAAGAAAATGCAGGAGGGTTTGCCTGGAACTAATAGGAGGTTCACTTTGGTGTATAAACCCATACATAGCTAAGGCCAAATTGGAGGCAGGATGACTAAGTCCTGTTCAGGCCTTTAGCAGGGTATGACTTGTAGGCCCCTTCATGGATATGTCTAACATCAACAGAAGAGTCTCCTTGACTGGGCCTTTGTTGTGAAGTGACTGCTGTTAAGTTAAGGCAGGTCCTCTCCTTAGAGTTTAGTACGAGATTTAAAACATTTTCTCCAAGCCATTTGGAGGTGTTTAATCTTTTATCTCTGTGATTTTTGTAATGTTCATACATTCTCAGCTGCCCACGTCCACTGCAGCTGAAGAATCTCCTGTATCTTGGTTGCCCTCAGTCTTCAGGGACTGAATGAGGGGATCAGGAATTAAAAACCTGAGGTTGTTTCCGGTTAGACAGTGCCTTCACTAACAATGGAAAGAAAGCCCGATTTGGCTATCACATCATTTTTTTCCTTAATGGTTTTGTGTGTGGTTAGAGAAAAGATGGAAGAAGCCATGGGACTGGAAGGTTATATCTGCTTCTGCCCCTCCTAAAATCCTGTGAGTTTGGGGACGGCAAGATAAAAACCTTGTTCGGAAGCCTCTGTCTTAGATATAGTCTGGGCGGTCATGTTAAAAGGAGATGGTGTGAACAACCAGATACATGAATTGCAGATTTTTTGGGGGGTGGTATTGTTGGTAGAAGTCAGGGTCATAGTCAGCAACAAGAATAGTTTGTTTTCCATTATGCTGCCAACCCCATTCTTTACCTGTTTTCCCCTTTCCTTCTGAACTCTGAATGAGTGTATCTTACTGAAGCAACTGAGGGCTTTGGAAGAAGGAACTCTACAAATAGACAGGGATCTTGGTGGCCCTCAAGTGGCCACACAGAGCATGGCAATCCTTCTTCTGGGCAATCACCTTGCCATGCTTCAAGTCAGAGGAATTCCTTAGAAACTATCAAAACATATCAAAACCCTTAGGACAATCTTTGCTGACTTGGCTACTTTGTAGATAAGGTGGACCTCCACTTCCAGAATTCTCAGCAAAAAGGGACTTCTGGGAGGTGGTTCGTAGATCCGGAAACTATTCCGATTAGGGCAGGCTGGCCTCTGATAACCTCTGATGTGTTTTCCAATGTAACAAGCAGAGGTCTTTCCCATCAGTTCCCCACCAGAGACGCAGAGATTAAAGCAAGAGCTGGATTGATTCTGCATGGAGAAGATGTGCTTGGCTACTCGGCAAAAACCTCCTTTGAATGTCATCTAAGGAGGAATGGTTCTACGTCAGGGGCCAGCTGTCTGTAGCCCTAGGGCTTCTGAATTACATTGCTGAAAATTGGTGATGAATCTAGAAACACGCAAAACACATATATTATCTCTGCTGAAAACTGCCCAGAGTTGTTTCAACAAGATGGGTGGCGACAAATTTGATATATAAATAAAATATCCCTACTATCATAGTTTCAAAATTGAAGACATTTGACCCTGACTCCAACCCAAGGTGAGGGCGGGGGACTGTACCATTGCCTCACCCATTATTGTCTAGAGCTCCTAAAAAGGAAAGTCCTTGGTTACCCCAATGTTGCTCACTTAGATCTACATACTACATTCATTTTCCAATACCTTTATGGAAGCATCAGAAGAAAGGTGAGGAACCACACTCCACTCCCCAAGCACTGTGAAAATCCTTTCTGCCCCTACAATACCTTCAGTTGCTGCTCGCACATTCCCAAGCCAATGTTCAGAGCCACAAGGACCAGAAACTTGTTTTCTCTTGAGGAGTGCTGGTCTTCTTAAATGTTGATTCTCTTCCCCAATGCCCAGATTCCAACATGAATTGGATACTTCAAGGAGGAGGGAGAGGATTGTGGATGGAGATAGCCTACAGGTCAAGAACTTGAGCATAGTTGACCATTCCTTTCGCTATCTGCAGGGAGACAAGACTTCTTTACTTTAAAAACATTTCTGTCTCCTCTTTGGCAGGAGCTGGCTAAGAAGCAACTGGGGCCAATCACTACCGAGATTCGGGAGGCTGGCAAATTCTACTATGCTGAAGATTACCACCAGCAATATCTCCACAAAAACCCGAATGGCTATTGTGGCCTACAAGGCACCGGCGTTGCCTGCCCCATAGGCAAATGAGAGTTCCCCAAGGGGAGTATCCTTGGGAGCCACGGTAATCATAACCCTTGAACAGTTACCATGGCAACCGGGCGGCCTAGCATCTTTGTAATTCAACTGTGATTTAGCCACGGGGGCCTTTGTTCCTTCTTTTGTGTCTTGTAGGACTCTGTAAGATTTGGGGACGGGGCGAAAATGGGCAGCCTGCTGGAAGAATTTGCTGTGAACGGTAATGCTTTGTGTGGAAGTGATAAATAGGTTTCCACCCGATGCAGATGTTTGGGATTGCCTGACAAGGCGCTGATAAATACACATTATGCATTTATCCTTCTCGTCATTTCTCCGTCATCCCCAAGAAAGCGGATGGAGCCAACTCGGATGCCTCCACCTTTGCAGTGAATTGAGTTACCGTCATTGGCCCAAACTCATTTCCCTGCACAGCCCTCTCTTTGGGTTGGTAGGGCTTAGAGCAGTGTTGTCCAAACTTGGTCCCTTTAAGAC